ATTAACTCTTTAATATATTATGATTTTAGAATGACGTAGTTGAAAAAATCAACAATACCCCTGATAATGCACCTGCATCTCAAAGACGTGAAGAACTTCGAGCTCAACTTGATAGACTTCGTGGAAAACAAGCCGAAATGAAAAAAAAACGTTATCAAAAAGTTGATCTACTTAAAAGTATGAATGATTCTTTACAAAAAAAGGTGTGGCCGTTTTTACAATGTTGTGTCATTATACTGTTTTTATATGTTTTCACTAACAAAAATATGACTTCTCGCACTTTTATAGAAAAAGGATCTTAAGGCTCAAAAGGATAAGCTTCAATTTCGAACTGTCAAAGATATTGATAATCAGATTTCGTAAGTAAATTTTTTACCTAGTTCTTTTACGAATCGTTGTTTCTATTTGAACTATAGTGACCAATTCGATAAATTATCATAATAATAGAAAATTAGAAAAGCAAGTTGAATCTGGCACTTTAAAAATTGTTGATGAAAAGAGAATTATTTCGGATATATCCGGTCTTAAAAAGTCAAGGAAACTTGTCGAAACTTTTGAAGCGCAACAAGCTGCCATTGATGCCGAACAAAAATCGATTGACGAAATGAGAAAAGATCTTGAAGACAATGAATTAAAAGAAGCAAACGCACAGTACGATAAAATAAAAGCAGAACTTGAAACAATCAACAAAGACCAAGCTATGGATAGAGAAAAGAGGAATGAATTATTTGATGAGAAAAAGAGAATACGTGAACAGATTAACACTCAATTTGCCAATAGAAGAGCCATTCAAGATGAATATAACAAGGCCAAACAGGAATATTGGCAAAGGGTGGATGAAGATCGTCGCCAGAAAAAGGAATTACAAAGGAAAAAGAAAGAAGAATTAGAATTACAAAAGAAATCCCAAATTGCTGCTAAAAAACTAGAAGAAGCATCCTTTCCAGCTTTCCAAGAAGATATCCAAATTTGTGAAAATCTTATTTATTACTTTCAGACTCACCATGGAGTTGGTAAAACTGAAGAAGTAGTTTCTAATTCAATTGTCAATGATAGTAGTCAGCCTGATACTACTTCTAATATACGTCAGCCTGATACTACTTCTAATGTTCCAGAAGGATGTGTTTCTTTAGCAAAAAAATTTGAGGATGAAGATGATCTTTTTGGGGGTAAATTATCCAAGAAGGTTAAGTCTCAAAAGAAAAAAAAACCTAACAAGACTAATGGGTTTCAACTCCCTCTCAGTATTATGGATCAGTTGATTTTAGTTAAAGTTGCAATTCCTCTTAGTCCTTCCGATGTCGAAAAAGTCGTTAATGAACTTACAGAAAAGAAAGACTACTTCGTCAAAAACCAAGACCGCATAACCAAAGAAAACATTGCTAAAGCTGAGGAAGAGATTGCCGCTTTGGAAGGCAAGGGACATAATAAAAAAGTTGATGATGAAAAATTAAATGAAAAAAATTCATCAGAAGTCGTTGAAGAAAGTTCAGAATTAAATAATGAGGTAAAAGGAGAATGTGCGACTGAAAGAGCAGCCATTGGGCAACCTAATGAAGAATCTTAATAGAGTAAAATAGAATATTATAGAATATTATCAAACGATAGTTTTTGTTTTTTTATAATTTAATTACAGACGTATTTAATAATGAACATTTTTATTTATGTAGATAATTTGGTTAAAATTTTTGAATCATTATATTTCATAGATATATAGTCATTTTTAGTTTTGTATTTCTGTATTTATGCGTAGGGAAAATATAATTATTGAAAAATTATCTTATTATCATCATCATCGAACATGTAATGTCAAAATTATAATAAATTAGATTATGTTACACCGATGTCATGACTCTTGTAGTACGATATGTGCATCAGTATGATCTTAGTCAATTTTCACATGCTGTTACGTAATGTTCAAGATGTTTATTCTTTTTTAATATTGTAAATTGAGGAAATTGAAATTGTAAATTTCGTTTTCTCTTCGAAAAATTAATATAATTCAAACATAAAAGTGTTAATACAATGCTGTTAGAGGTAAGGTTTTCAACATTATAAAGTATTTTTGCTCTATATATTAAACTTTTTTTGCCTTCATAGATCATATCCTTTCTCTTTTCCCCAATTTTGTCCCTTTTCGACCCCTACCTGTCTCGATTCACCGATGCGTTAACTTCACATAAAACACAACGTACAGCAGTAAAGGCTATCTTTATCGGCATTGTGATTGTAGCATTAATTGCTACTGCATTAGTTGCATACCTATGCTTTTATATTCTGTACGTTCCTCAAATATTACACGTGAAACCCGTATATCTACAATATCAGTATGTACTTCAATTATTTTATATCTATTGAAAATTGCTGATAACTTAAAATTAATTAATTGAGTACTGGAAATACTTAATAATGTGTACAGCACTGGCAAATATCCAACTAGCGAGGTGGACTTTAGTGAAGGTGGACAATATTCACAAGTAAGCAGGCCATTTAATATTTTAATACTTTATTTAATTGTAATAATGTTTTCGTTTGTTTGATAGATTCTGACCCCAGGTCAAGCTTATGATGTTTCAATTGATTTACACGTTCCTGCATCTGACAGAAACATCGGTTTGGGTAAGTGATTTAATTTACTGTCATAATTAATATTTCAACGATAATTATATTGAAAGCATTGTTGAGTTCGTAATGTAAATATATTACTTGTTTTCAGGAAATTTTATGATTAGCCTAGCGCTTTGGTCTAGTGCTACTAATGACACAGTTATAACATCAAGTAGACCCGTAAGCATGAACCGTTAATGTGTAATTTACGGTTACATTGTGTTTTAATTGTTAATAGCTTTTTCTATGATAGTGTATTCTTACGTATCAATCAAATTTGCTCCGAGTATTTTCTACTATGTGGCGATTGATTCCTTTGTTGGCGGGATTTACTAAAGAAGATCAAAGACTAGAAGTCATCATGATAGAAAACATGATTGAGAATTTTGTGAGTTGAAAAATATGCGTCATCATTAATTCCATTTCTATTATTAATATTAATGTCATTTGTACTGCAGGATGCCCCAATCACAAAGGCATTCATTGGTGTTCACAATCCTGAACTCGAGGTTTACAGCGCTCAAATACGATTA